CAATGGTTATCAACGAAAAGTGAGTCTGCTACGACTTTTATGTCAGGGTTCTTTGCTAAACGTTTCCCAGCACATCTGCCAATGCTACAAGATCGCTCAACAACTACAAGAGCCTCTGCAGTTCGGCTACAGTCTCCGAAGTCGTTCCTGTTCAAGGTGGCGGCTCCCCACAAGGCGGAAATGGTGGCAATGGCACCAACACAGGCGGTTCTGGAGGCGGTAGCTCTGGTGGTGGTTCCGGAGACGATAGCTCAGACGACGGCAGCTCTTCCGGCGGTGACAGCTCTGATGGCGACAGCTCCTCCGGTGACGATAGCTCCGATGACGGCAGCTCCGATGACGGTTCCGAGGATGGCTCTGGCACGCCAACTGGTGTCTCTGCCCCTGGAGCTACTGGCACTCCCACATCTGGTTCTTCGGGTGATCCTGTGGTCACTGCTGCTGCTGCTGAGCTCAAGGCCCCTATTTCGATGCTGCTCGCAGTCGGTGCCGCTGCTATGTATGTACTATAAGCTGAGCGTGTGACGAACTTTTGAATGGATAGACATAATGCTGGGAAAAATTAATGGGCATATTTGTACCAATTGCTGGAACGGTTGGGCAGCCTCGGGATAGGCACAGTCATCAACGGTGTTTACGGCCAGGTTCAACGGGAAAGTGTATCAAGGTTGAACGTTTAGATAACAACCAAGAATACCCAAAGCCATTAGAGAGATCATCCTCATTATCCCTTGATTTGAAGTTTCTAATGTTTCACGGTTATGTATATCGTGACTTTTGAGCTTTGGTCCAGTTGGGTTTGGAAAAGGATAGATGTATGCCAATAAAAAAATAATTAAAAATACAACATCGCCAGTGTGAGTAAGGATCAATCCTTCTTGGGAATCTTTCTGGTCTTCCTACTTCTCTGAGCCTGGTCACAGAGCTTCTTGGGCTTCTCTTTCTCCAGCCAGCCGGGTTCCCGATACACATATCCCACCTTGGTGTACTTCTTGCTGTTGGCAAAGAAGTCGACCCAATGCTGGAGCGCGGCGTCGGCCCTCTTTTTAGCCTCTTCTCTCTCTTTGATCTTGAGCTCAGCAAGAGCCTCGGGTGTCCAGTGAGAGTCAACTTCAGGATCGTCGAGCGGCAGGAAAGTCTCCTCATAACCACGGAGGTCGGCGGTCTGGTCCTCAGCAAAGCAGCCGGTCACGAAGCCGCGAGCAGCATCGGTGGCAGCGAAGTAGCTGTAGGAGCCCCCTGGGCCGTACATGCGGCGGCCGTTGGAGACATCATAAATCGTACCATTGATGGCAAGAAGAAGAGGTCTATCGGGGTCGGTACCGTCGTGGAGGGAGAGTTCCTCCAACGTCATATATACAGGTGGTGGCTAACGGAGAACGGTAGTTAGAATAGTCAGGTAATCATCATAGATTCAACATACAGGTCCAAGAATCAAGTCTTTGTAGAATCTCTGGGTCATCCAGTTAGGCTTGTTCTTGTGTCCCCACCAGAAACTCTCTCCTCCGCTGATAACATAGCTTAGACCCATTGAGGCCACGATAATGAAGCTGATGACACGAACGACATCGAGGTAAGGGGAGTAGCCATCCCATGGGTCTTCTTCATCAACCTTGGCCGAGGACCTTTTCTTGCCCTTTTTGGTCGGGGTGGAAGGCTGAGAGACTTCAGATTCGGTCTCGTTCTTGGGCTGAGGCTTTCGCTGTCGCAGAGTTGATTCGTCGGCCATCTTGACAAGTAACAAATATGATCTTTAACAAGTACTAGAAAAGATGCAGAGAAAAGAATTGAAAGGACACAGAAACAGATTTATAGCAAAGAATGTAACAATAGGGGCGATCTTAATATAAAGTGGCGTGTCCTGTCACCTTGACCTGGCCTCTGCTCGGAGTCGGAAGCTTCAACTTTTTCCCTTTTCCATGGATCAATGGAGTTAACTTGCGACGTTGGACAGCTTTATCGTGATTCTGGCACGCCTATCAGCCAACTCACTCCACTTCGCGGGGTCAGCACAGTTAAAAGCAGCTGATTGGAGCGTTGAGCTCAAAATAGGCTACGAACACACCACTAGGGGTAGCTGAGAAATAAGCGTCCAGATTGCTCGCATGAGGTCACCTGACGTCGTCTCTATCACCACAGCAACAGGTTACTTACCAATTGATACACACCAAAGTGGGATGGTAAACAATCGATACTACACCAGCACCACTTTTACTCAACTTTGCCTTATCACAACACACTAATAACCTTCAACTTGACTGTCGACCCTCCATAACGGCAGCCATTTGCGATAAAACTCAATCAGTTCAGTTTGATACCTCATATCTACCTCCACGTCTGCATCGAAATCATATTCAACAACAATGGAAGAGACAAACAGTCCACCCGGCTCACCGGGCGGCCCTCTTCAGGCCGTCACCGCGGACCGTGTGAACCAACAAAGAGAGCGGGAGTCCGTATTCTCTCACCTTCGTGGTGGTTCAAGAGATAACTCCGTTCATGATAAGATCAGCCAGTTCAACAACCTCAGTGTTACTATGCAATCAAAACAGCTGGAACGCAAAACAGCAGACGCTGCTTTGAAGCGTGCCATGCTTGGCCGCGAAGAGGCCGAGACTGAGTTGCGCAGATATAGAGAGGAGAACAAGAATCTAAGAAAGGCCATCGATGAGGGTAAAGACCGCGAGCGAAAAGTCGGAGAACGTCTGGAGTCGTTAATGGTAGGTGGTCTCGGAAACCAATGTAAACATTGCATGTTGACCATGTCATAGGAGAACTATGGCCGAGCAAAGGAGACCCATGCACACACACAAGCTTTATGGGAAAAGGAGATACGCCGCGCACGAAAAGAAACATTCAAAACACAATCATCGATCGTCAAGCTCCAAGAAGAACTCAAGTCAGCACGCACAAACGCCAAGATGATCGACGAAAACCTCAAACGAGAAAAGGCTAGGAGCAAAGTCCGAGAGCAAGAAGCATTCGAAGCGCGCTATCAGATTGTTGGTGTCCAAGAACAACTAGATCAAGCATTGGAGCGTATCAAGCTCGTCGAGCAGGAACGGGACGCCTACAAGACTGCGGCCAAGAACGAGGAAGTTGCCCGTATCGCTGCCGAGGGTCGTATTCCTCTGCCGCCACAGGATGCTGACGATGAGTTTGGTTCTCCTAACAAAGACAAGAGGCGAGCGTCAAGAGATCCTCGAATTTCTCTGTCGACAATGGACATCATCTCCTCGGAAGCCAGTGAGGTTGAGATTGAGGAATTGTCCACTCAGTTGCAGTGGGAGCGTCAAAGAGCAGATCGTGCCCATGAGATGATTGAGTTCTTACAGGCCGAATGCCATCTCCGTTGCTGTGCCTGCTCTAAGTCAACCCGTCGTGCCGGTGCTGAAGCCCCTCGCCAGAAACGCCGAAGCTCTTTTGGACTAGAGGGACCAAACGACAAGGTCCAAAAATTGGACAGTGAGGTAGTAGGGGGCGAGAAGCGTGCTGTAACTCCTCCCCGTATCGAGGAACCGTATGCCCGGACCGAGCACGACACAGGAGCAGACGCTCAGCCTGAGCCAGTCCAAGAACAGCACCTCCAAGAGCCTCCTCAACGTATTATTAAATCTAAGAAAGAGCCTCGTCGAAGTACCATATTCTGTCCCAAAGAAGGCATTTTCCGGACAGTTTCGGAGCAAGAGGCCGAGATCATTGAGGCACAACGCAAAATCGAAGAGACTGAAGCAGCTGCCAAGGGTCAGCGAGAAAGTCATGCTGAGAGCGAATTTCAGGATGTTGACGAGGTTGTGATTGAAGAGCAAGTTGAGGCTGAAACCACGATCGGTGATGGCACTGAGATGGAGCCCCGTTACTCTGGCGAGTATGATAACTACCGGAGATACGCACGAACCCCTTCAGTCGAGCCTCCAGCCTTCGCCATGCTTGCTCAAGAAAGAACATCACTAGCCTCACTTCTCAATGCTCCTCACAGTCACTCGGCACCTGTTCCTTCAGTACCGACCATGCCAGACGTGGCCGAGGATATACTTGTCTCTCCTGACACTCGACCTCACACCACAAATGCCTTCTACACCGTCACCACTACGACAACCGTGCCAGTTCATGACGACAAGGCCGGGAATAGTGCATCTTTCAACGAACGCCTTCGCACACCATCCCACAACAGCACAGGCACCACCTTTGACATGTCAAATCCTGCTCTCACCCCTACCATGACACGCGAGCAGGCTCTCGCCAAGATTCGTGAACGTCGTGGCCGTGCCCGTTCAATGGCACAGGGCACAATGACACCTAGCCGTCGAATGGTCGAGGGCGTTGAACGACGAGATATGAGTGCTCCCACAGGCAAGGTTGCTGGCAAAGGGCGATAAATGTTGAACGACCAAATTGTATGAGCCATGACATGACCTGACGAACACCCTACTACTCTTCACATTCACCCCTATTTCCCCCTCCTGAAGGATTACTCTTTTCCGACCCGACCCGACCATCCATAAAAAGTTATCGCTTTTCACCTCTCCCAATGGGCCCCTATCTTTCCGCTCACCTTTTAGCCCATCACTTTTTCTCTTTTCCTGCAGGGCGAAGGGGCGTTATTGTGTTTTCCCTATAAACTGTTGCTGTCAAGTCACTTGGGACTCAAGAACATGCAACATCATTCAGCGACTTTCCATCTTGTTTCTATGGGCCGTTCTATGGATGGTCTCGTGGATTCTCATGACACGTGTCAGACAAAGTCTTTTGTTGGTTTTGGTCATAATTAATATGCGTTGGTTGGATTGTGTACAAATTGTTTGTTCCGTATTTGCAATACCAATATAACTGTGTCAAATACCCCTGTTTTCATATTTCCGTGTGGCATCTCATACTATTGGACGTCTCATAAATGCTCGTTATTATCTCCAAGATGCCAGTTACAGATCTGATTCGTAATACAAGAGCAGTTCTGTTCTCGCCACCACGACTGCAAAGACCACATGAAATATACTGAATTAGCTTCCCAGAAAGCTCCTTGACATGTTGCGCGACAATTGCGAGCGCATTGCATCAAGCTTCGCTGCAACAAGAATACATTCAACACCCCTGCCGTTCGGTGCATTCTGAATGCGTAACCTCCATTGCCCTGTTGTGACAACCCACTCCTCATCGCCTGAGTCACCATCTGCTCGCTTTCGCTTCCGGGGGTATTCGTTTGCGGAAGAGTCGGAAGCCGCGGCACTGATGAAATCCTCGAGATAGTCCTTCCCATCGAGAATAATGGCGGATTCGGGCTCCAGGACTATACGAACAAGATCTTCCTTTAATAGTGCGTTTCCGAGGTTTGTCAACTGTCCGTTGTTGGTGAGATGTTCAGTTTTGATCGCTTGGTGAAAGTTTAGCTTTGATGAGACAAGCTCAAACAACTTTGCAACTCGTGCTTTGGTGTCTCTGAAGAATTCTGCCCTAGCATTACTTCCTGAGAAATGAAGCTTGGTTGTTTCGCCGCCAATTTCAAGGACCAGCTCAGCAGGCTTCTCGTCTACATAAGGTCGAGCGTATTGCACAAAACCGGTCAACGGGTCTGTATTGCTGATAAAGACACTAACACCACTCTTCTGTATGTTCTCAAGACGAAGGACAATCTCGTCACGTCTCGTGGCTTGATTGTAACTTAACGAATGTGGAATAAGGCGCTGCTCAAGGCCCTTAAAATGAAAGTAGCGCGCATCGCTGAGGAGATCCTGGCGGTGTGCTTCATCACGTATTCGAATAGGATATCCTCGGAGAAAGTGTAGGAGCTCAGCAAATGTATCAGCGCTGCGCTTCGGAACCGAAGGAGGGAGGATCGAGGGTGGACGGATTAGGCCTTCACGGTCAAGGCCAGGGAAGAGATCATCCGGGCGAGAGAAAAAAGCTGCGAAGCCAAGGGAGAAGTAGTTCGGGGAATTTCCTGGGTCGTTGAAGATCTCACGAGGAATCTGAAACTCGCGATGGCCGATGGAGATAAAAATACTCTCCTCGTAAAGCTGAGAGATTAGCTTGGGCACTGTTTCCCGAAATGTCAGTTCAGAATCTGGGCTGCAAGATGGAGGCGACCAACAGCTATAGAATTGTGCATCTGAAAACAGACGCACAAAATGCTCGCCGTCGCGAGGCTGTACATGGTAGCCCTGAAGATGAAGAGAGATATCGCGAAAGATAGCTGGATCGCGATCAATGTAGAGCGTTCGGATAGCCGAGTTCGACTCGTCGTTTCGTTCTTTTGCCGATTCCAACTGGCAAACAAAGTATTGAGAGAAGTATGAAGGTGCTGCGAGGCGTTAGTCGAGAACTATGAGATAGACAATTGCGCTGGCGCAATTCGACAAGTCAGTTGTCGCAAAGAGACTTGTCAAGCCAAGACTCACCGTCAGAGGATAACGATGCCCCCGAGAGCTTAAACAATTCGCTGCCGATCTGGATTGGAAAGACGCGCTCATGAGGCAGAATAAGCGGGATCCGAGAGACATTGCGCTCTGACAGTGGCTCGACAGTCAAATTTCCAGCATCAGAGGAAGCGATTGAGGTCATTGTGACGGTATTTGTATAGAGGATTTGCTGGTCTTTCAAACGTACAGCGATTTCTCGGCGAAATGCGACAACAAGCTCACAAGTGCAATGCCTCTTGGGCCCTGAAGAGTTGAAGTCGCAGCGCACCGTTTTAACGTTGATAAGCTACAATTGAGGTGTAGTAAATTTATCCGGTGACAGCTCTGAGCTTACACGAGGGTTGCATGAGCTTGCGCCACTAGACATGGATAGTGGCTGACAGATACATTATTAACAGCCTTACAAAGTCACAGCTCCCAGGTTTAAAATCACCACCATGATGCTTCATCGGTTTCATCTATGTTCTATAAAAGGCTTTTGCTGCTTGTAGCGCAGTTAATCGTCGTGTAACATCATACGAATATTTAGCCTTCGATGTCAATTAACCCATTACGTCCTTGTGCAGTAGACAGACGCTAGATATCCCGTAGAGATCCTGAGACTATCTGCTCATCAACTCAACTCCGTTTCGGACAACTCCAACGACTGCTCCAGTCTGGATCAACTCACTGCCTCCACCGGCGACTCTATGCTCGATGTTGGCGAGACCATCCAGCCAGGTGATCATCACCTCAGGACCAACCTCTAGCTTCACCAACTCCTCGGAGAGCGCTGTGATAATATCAGCCAGCGCAAGACCTCGCGACACCTTGAGAGCGCTGATAGTGTTTAGACAACTTGTGACATCCGATGTCTTAAGCAGCGTCGACACAATCTCTTTGATGGCATCGGGTGGGGGTGCCGCAATGCAGTTATAAATAGTCTCCGTTGTGATATTTTCGCGTTCAATTTCGCTGTCAGGTACTTTGGGTGCATCCTTCGCTCGCAATGGTGTACCTGGGCCTCTGTTAGCGCTCACGTTAGGAAAGATAGATGCACGCAGACTCACTTGATGCGTGACAGGCCTGTAGAACGTTCAGTGCTCTTCGCATATCACCCTTGCTCAGCTTCACCAGCGCATCAACTGCCTCTCCGCCAATCCTAACATGCTCCTCCTCCACCACCTTGTCAACCAGCACCCTAATGTCGCCCTCCTTTAGCGGACTGAAGCGGAACCGTGTACATCGACTCAGCAGCGCTGGGCTAAGCTTGTGGGAATAGTTTGCAATGATACAGAACCGTGTGTTGGTGGTGTACTTCTCCATTATTCGTCGTAGAGCCATTTGGGCTGTGCTCGTCATAGCATCAGCCTCATCAAGAACAATGAGCTTAAATCCAGCCATCGAGTTGCCTGAGCGGGCAGATGTGCCACCCATGGAGAAGATCTGTTTGGTACTGGCAAATGTCTTGATCTGCTCTCGCACTACATCGATGCCACGGTCATCTGAGGCATTGAGTTCGAGCACCATTTGGCGCATATTCGCAGCTCCGTAGATACGACGAGCAAGGGCCAGAATTGTCGACGTCTTTCCAGTGCCTGGCGGACCGTAGAGGAGTAGATGGGGGAGACGATTCTGATCGATGAATTTGTTGATAGTAGCGAGAATATCTTGATGGCCCGAGACGTCTTCGAGGGTGTTTGGGCGGTACTTTTCAACCCTGGGCTCCGTTAATCCTGATATTTGATGGTATTTCTTACAAGCACCTACCAAGGGAGACTATCCTCAGCCTCAACTGGCAGATTGGCAGCACTTCGCTTGCCTTGCTTGGCTTCAGAGGAAAATATCACATCTTTGCTGACAACGGGGACATCAACATCCATCTCATCCCCAATATCGGACATATTTGCGCTTGATTTCCTGTTGTTTTCGGTCTTTGCAGTTCCTTTAGTGATGTTTCCAGGGTTGCTCGTCCCGATTCTTGAGCTTGTTGCGCTGTATGGAAGTTTGAACGTTGAGGTCAGTGAGGAACACGCGCTAGGTTACACCTAAACGCGTCTTAAGCGTGTCAGTCAATTAAGATCCTTGCACATAGCAACGGCCAATCACAAGGGCGAAATCGTCAACGTCACACTTCTACTTACACCTTTTAACTGAAGTACTACATCAGTACATCTTTTTGTATGATGTTTATTTTCAAATAAAAGACAATTATAGCACTGATTTGTGCGAATATGCTATCGTGAATACAACTCAGTGTCAATTGCAACTCTAAAGTTGTCTAGAGATACATCATCCAAAGAAACCCCGAGGCGACATAACCAATAAACCATTTCCAGCGCCCATCGTTCGTCACCCTATATGTTCATTAAAAAGAAGAATATCTAATTATATCCTGGAGGCCACTAGAAAATAATACAAGGCGGTGGCCTCTCTTGTCTCATTTCATCTCATCACTCATCGTTCACGTAACTGATTCGTCCCCAAGCCCACAATCTCAAACATTATGGGGATAATAGCCACTGCAAACCAAGCAATTCCTATCACACCAGTCAGCAACCCATTTCGCTGGTCAGGAGAAGATCTCCAGAAACTTACCAGTGTAAACCACGAGCTTAGTCACGACCTCGACGTCGTATCGCACACGAGGTTTGATTAATTGTGAGAACATCTCGCGCTCTCCCAACCCGTCCTCGGTGCCCGTAACAAAGATCTCAACCCGATCATCATCGGCGGCTGGTGTTGTCACAACTTCGCCGGTTCCCATCATCTGCTCGAATTCGACGATTCGGTTTGCCTGTGCACCAGACGCCTGAGCTCCCTTGCCAGAATAGTCTTCATGCGTGGTCTGGAGCTCCAGGTTGCTTGACTTGCTCTTCAGGCTATGGTTACTGCTGACACTCTCACGTCGCTTGCGCTCTCTATACGCCAAGGTCTCGTATGCATCTGCGGCACTCTGAGGACCAATTGACACAGAGCGACCTCGGGTGGTAGGGTTTCGGATACTTTCGACCATGCGTGGGAAGTCGGACGGCGAAGGGAAAAGTGTATCGATACGAGAGCCTGTTGGTACAGTCTTGTACTTACTGGCAGGAGTGAAGAATCGTCGAGGCATGTTCACCCCAACCTGTTCAAATATTCGGAATAGATGAGGCAAGAGCTTAAGCAGTAGAGGCTTCATCGTCTCGCGCCACGCAAAGACGACAAGAACGCCGAAAACGATCCTGGCCACGTTGGCAGCCAATCCCAAGTGCGTAACATCCACAGATCCTCCACCATGCGCATGAGTCTCCCAAGGATCTAGCGCAATCTTGCCGTACGTCCAAGTGCCGAATTCGAGGCCAATAACAACACCAGCAAAGGCAACACTGTCATCGTAACATGGACAGTCGTCTGCCGGCTCAGGGTGAATGCGCACGAGTACAAGAATAATCAAGGCAGCTACGAGAGGCGCAGCCCAAGAGCTGGAATGCATATATTCATCCAGGGGAGGTCCGTAGTAGAATTCGAGCAGAGAAATAGCGGCACCCATGATAGACCCGATAATTACGTCTAGGAAGCCATGCATGCCACAGTACAAGCGCCCAAATATGATCGAAGCAGCGTAAAAGTACGAGAGGCATTCGAGTGCGAACTTGGTGGTTGGAGCTAGCGTGTTATCGGGACTGCGTAGTATCAGAAGCGCATAGACGGCGACAGATACAGCATTGGCGCTATGGGTCGAAGGGAAACCATATTCGAGGGCTGCAGAACCAGACATCGTGATCCGGTGCAAAGGAGGCGAGAGTGGTCGTGGGAGAGAGTAGAAGTCCTTGATAAAGCCAGTCCAGAAGACACCGAGCGCAAGAATATGCACTAGTCTACACAATGAAGCATGTCAGTACCTGTTAATCCTGTAATCTCAATCGAATCTAGAGATTTGTTGCTGCAACTGCATCGCAACATCATGCGCCGCAGCGCAGCGTGTGTAGACGTTGAACATGGTGTGACTTACCCCTTGCCAAATGCTGCATAGCCACACCAGAAGCAGATGGGTAATCCGATCATGAAGAAGGTATGGGTTCCGAGGTTGGCAGTGATGGCGAAGTAGCTATCGAGAGCTGGCGTCCGCAACTTCTCTTGCATCCACGCAAGGTACGGTGTCTCCCAGCGGATCAGAGGCAGCATCTGTTGGCGCAGATTGTACCGCCATTTTGGCAGGGCGCGCTTGTCTGCGAGAAGAGCAATCAGCAAAGCGCGTGGCGCGAGAGAGGTCGTTACTGAGGCGTACAGTGATCGAGACTTCTCAGTCCGGCATCGGGAACGTCATCGCCTTTGGCAGAGCCGTTTGTCGTAGGCAGAACCGTCGTGGTCGTGGTGGCAGCGGGAATGTGGGCGCTCAACGGCGGGGCATCGCGTTGAGGGTCGCTCATGTTTTTGCGGCGGGAGTAAGCTGAGAGATACGTCAATTGCGACGAGTACAAGATCCAATACAACGACGAAACATTGAGGTCAAAGAGACCCGATAAGGAATGTCGTGGGCCTGAGTGCGGCCTTGGGCTTCAATGGACAGAAGCCCTGCTGAGAATGTAGTTGCAATGGAGGAGTTTAGTGGGAATAGTTAACCAACGATGGATGGAAGCGGCGGGAGTTTGATCAAGTGGAGTTTTGCACTATGTTACATGCACTGAACCAGACCAGCAGAGGTCAAGGTTCAAGTGTGAAAGGCAGGTAGGTAGGTGGTCAGCTAATTGTTTATGTACCTTATCCAGTAAGGAACGGCAATGGTCAATTGATCCTTGTCGTGGGATAAAAGGGTCAGATTAGGTAGATATTTGTGCGGTATCATCTTGTTTGACTGTTCATCGACGTCCGCTGTGTTTGGCTTCAAACCCTTGGCGCTCGTAAAGGACAGCAAGACAAGGCACGAAATCAGGGTTTCATCAACGGATGGGTTACCTCGCTAACTTAAAACTTTGCGGTTCTCCTCTTCAGTCCCTTGTTGATACCCCAGAAGCGAAACCCATCATGGAAGCTGATGAGATGCACTAAACAAGCAAGCCACTTGTTTAAAAGCAGGGGGTTCTGGTCTCGTAAGTATTTACAGAGGCGAATATGGAAATGATCATAGTAACGGAGAAGTCGTCTTCAGTATGTGCAAAAAAGCAATTGCTACTAGGAGGCGGATATCGGCTATGACATATAGCCAGCCAGGAACCGATTGCTTTGTTCAGAGGTGCTTCGATGGCGTTATCTGGGGCTTAAAAAAACCAAACACCGTACAGTGTGGCAATGACATCGGTGCTGCACGGGAGGTTGGTGGTAGGTAATTAAGCATATTATTGAAAAGCAGAGAATATTCGGTTCGCCACGATCAAAAGCAACCTGAAGAATGAAGATGAAAATAAATCGTAAAACATGTTCATTTCGCAGTATGTCGTGAATTTCGATGTACACAGCTTTATCGTAAAAAGTCGGGCCTTCGTCTCCATTCAAGTCGATATTTACAGACTCAAAGTTCAAATTTCATCACCACATCAAACTCACTACTTGTAAACCACCTCACACATCCCGCCTCCACCACCGCCCATGTCCTTCTCTCTCCGCGGTAAACATGCCATCGTGGTCGGAGGTACCGGTACGCTGGGCTTCCGTATCGCGAGCGCGCTTGCAGACCGCGGGTCTGTTGTAACCATCATGAGCCGCAATGCCGTTGATGATCGCCAAGTCCTTGAATCCAGACTCAAACCCTTTGAGCCTCTCCCGTACATGGAGAACTTCGAGGGCAGTAGGCGCCCAACAGAGCACCAATTCAAACGCCTGGATGTTCAAAGGATAGACATTTTCAAGGGTCTATTTCCCAGTCTAGGCCCCGTTGATGTCCTCGTCAACTGTGCTGGCACCAGTCAAGCGTCGGCGCTCAAAAGAACCGGCGAAGAGGAAATTCAACGGATTCTTAACCTCAACCTCCGGGCGACTATTCTCGCCTCTAAATATGCCAAATTAACCCCTCATGGTGCGTCTCACCAAGCAGTTGCTTATGTCCGATAGCATCTTCTCACATGTGCTCATAGGATGCATCATCAATGTTTCAAGTCTTATGGCTACCAAAATGGGTGCTGGTGCTGCAGTATACGCCGCTTCAAAAGCAGGTGTCATTGGTACGTTCATGATATATCCCTAATCTTATGCTAATGAATCCCACATTATTATACATTTCAAAACCTGCTGACTCCATATCGTCGCAGCTTTCACCCGTGCCCTAGCCCTTGAGTATAAAAGTCGCTCTGTCCGCGTGAACACATTGTTGCCGGGCTGGATACAGAGTCCAATGTGGAATGGTGAGTCTCCCCTCCCTACGCCTTCAATCCCTGGCACCAATCACCCTTGCGAAGACGAAAACCAATGTTAATGTACAATGCCCTGTATTAGAACTTCCTGAGACTGCTCGTGAAGCTTACCTCAAGCAGTGTCCCTTGGGTCGTTTGGGCACGCCCGATGAGGTAGCCGACGCTGCCATGTTTTTGATAACCAACCGTTTCGCCAACAATTGCGTGCTGAACCTGGATGGTGGCTTAAGCGCCAACTAGTAAAGCCATGGTTCCTAGGATATATGCATCGTCCTTTCAACCCCTCGAATTACGCTTCAATCGTCAATGACGATAGCGCCGCCGCCGGCATGACTTTGGACTTCGTCCACGTCTACAACATCGGTTCCGGATTCGGTGATCTTGAGTTTCTTGAGAGGTGGTTCAGCGTCCTCTCCATGCGGTCTCTTGATACCCTTCGGCTCGGCACTAACGGCCTGCTCATCGTTGAGTTTCCCATTGCCATTCGCGGAGACTGGCTGGAGCTTCTTTGGTCGACGTGGAATCTCAGGGACATCCGCGAATGTAGCCTTGACTGGTTTCTCGTCTTCTTTCAATGTACTATAAATTGTAAGCCTAATTCAATAACAACAGAGACAAAGACAGACCCTTCTCGGACATTGATAACCACATTGACGAGCGTGTCTTCGTCGTCCTGGTCGATGACAGTTAAGAACGAGTCCTTCTTGATACCTAATAGTTTTGTCAGTCCCCCGCGAGCAATTCATTTGTCCTTTCAACGAGGCCTTACCGAGATCAGTCAGCTTTTTGGGTAGATTCTCGTCGTCGCCGTCTTCAAAACATTCAACCAAGGTTCCTATGTCATTGTTCACGACAAACTCCTTGCCTTCAAATCCCAGCTTTGACAAGACGATGTCATCAATGAGATCCTTGAGAGTCGCCCGAGACAAGTCTGCAACAATACTTGTGAAGTAAACACTACATACGGGGCATTCGGGATTTGGCTCTCTGGACCTATCAGGGGCCAGAAGTCGAGCTGGGGCAAAGGGGGTCAGGAAGACCTCCTTGGACTGTGCATACTCGCCCTTCAAGACTTTGAAGGACTGAAGAACACAGAGACCAGCGACGATTGCGTTGGTTGTGGCAATCGCTGGAATAATGTTGCCTGCCATCTGTTTGGTATCGAACCGAGACTTCCTGTCAATTCCAAAAATTGTTGAGCGAATATTGGCACTTGCTGTCACAAAGTCAAGGGTATCAATATCATCCTTGTCAAATGTGATTGTGGGGTCGGAGTCTTCAGGTTTTTTGTTCTTCTTGAGTTCAAGAATTCGCTTGCTTAGTCGGTCAAGACTGTCATTGAAGACAGCTAGACTCTCTTGCAGGGACCAAACCCGCTGATCGTCATTCAGAATCTTGTCTTTGTTGGCGATAGCCTCGCCAGCCTGTGCGAGAATGGTCTGATATTGAAGAGGCTCAGGAGCTCGCCGGGATGTCCACATCCCCTCCACGGAACGTAGTCGCTCAATGTCGGCGTTGAACACCTTATCAAATAGCATCTGAGGGAACTTGGACGTGCCAGTAGCATCCCGAATCATCTTGAGAGCTTCAGATTCTTTCTTCAACTCTTCAATCTCTTTGGCTGGCTCTTGTCAGTATGTGTTGTTCGTTAACACAGCATCTCACTTACCATTGTCGGCATCAGTTGAGTGGTCAAACGCAGCCTGATCTTCACTTGTGCCAAAGATCTCGCTAAATTCTTTGTTAGCAATATTCCGCAAGTCGATATCTATATACATACTTGAGCAAATAACTTTTGCCCCAGACAATGCAGTGGATGGGTTGACTAGGGGTGCTTCGAATTGTACACACAGGAAAAGACTTGGGTGCTTCCTTGGGAGTACAGTCGTAGCATGCAGTAACGCCTTTTTTGATAACCTGCACCTGGCCATTGAATCCGGTGGTGCCACTCTCGATCAAGGGTACATCAGCTGCCAGGCACATCTTATTGACGTGCCTGCGCGCTTCGAGGTTATCCAGAGCATTGAAAGCAATGCGGAATTGTTGGAACCAGGCCACAGTGAATTCATCATCCTTTATATTGCCATGGTGTGCGACAATTTTGACATTGGGATTAAACCGTTCTGCTGCCTCCTTGGCCACCTGCGCGTTGATTAGTATCTAACCAAACTCCATTTTGGGCAGAACGACGCACTAAAGCCTTGGATTTTTTTATGTGTTCGTGACGGAAAAGAAACTGCCGGTTCAAGTTCGAAAGGTCGATGGTATCGAGGTCTACAATATGTATTTCGCCAAAGCCTGTGAGGACCAGGTTCTTGAGCAACTCGCATCCAATTCCGCCAGCACCAACCATGAGCACACGAGCCTGCGCGATCCGAGTTAGCATACCCACAATGATAAGAAGTGGTCGAGCAATATCGCCATGTCGCATCGCATACAGTCCAGTCCTAGACACATCGCTCCTGAGGCGTCGGATCGCGTCGGATCCTGGTGCGAGATCAAGGCTGAGAGGTGATATTTAGTTCCATGCATAAGAAACGTACCTGCTTGACAGAGGTATTGAGTGATGCGCCTAGCGACTGCTGATTGTGTCGGTCACGCGTCATGGCCGGCGTTCGTTTCCGGGATTCGTTCTCGGATGAAGCAGTTTTCTTTTGTTGCTGCTGCTGCTGCTGCTGTTGTTGTTGTAGTTGTGTTTGTATTTGTCGTTGCTGCTCAGAAACTGGGGTAACCGCTGGAGCTGCAGCCGCATTCTGTGTCTGAGCTGGAGCCTGATCGGCGCTTGTCGCATTCATCGTCATATTGATCGTTTTCTAGACGCGGAAACGGGATCGAAAGAGTGGAATAGCCCGATCCGAGGGCTGCGCATCAAGGTCGATTGTTGGTGAAGAATGTCGCGATCGGTTGAAAGTGGGAAGGTTGAATAAGATGTTAGTGGTCAGAGAGCTGAGATAGAGCATTCAGCAGGGGAGCGGCGTTGCAGGGCGACCAATCGGACGGGCCTATCACAGAGCTTTGAGCTTCTAAAGCCGGGAATTCTTGGTGTCAAGGCTTAATGATTGGGCTCCACTGTGTAGGTATCTAGGTTCCATTGTCAATGAGCACACCGGAGGTCCTCGAAGAGCAAGAAACCTCACACCTTTACATAGGTAGGATGCTGAAGTAAACTCACCTGCTAGCCCAACTGGGTCATTTCATTACTTAATATCAAGCTTCAAGTTACACAACCTTGCTTGCCTCCTCTTAGAAGGCTTGGCATGTTATCACTCTAGGGGAGGAAAGAAAACTCAGGACCTTGACCATAAGCGATAAAATTATTTATGTAAAACTAGCCTGAGTTTAGGGGACTTTTTACTAGGTTTATTTTAGCACCTTCTATTTGGTTTTTCTTAGTGATGAGTTGGGTGGGATGGTGACGTGCAGATGCACGGGCATGCAAGGACAGTGAGTGCCTGCCTTCCAGACATGCCTAGGTACCTAGTACCTATCTTAGAGGCACTCCAACAAAAGGGTGTACAAAGTGATCCATTTAGTGAATATCATGTGAATCGATTGCTTCCAGAAGCTTTTAATTATTCACTAACTATCATACAATTCCTTCCTTTGCCATATTTCGGCCACGGCAAGCTGCAAGGGATGCATGACACACTGGGCTGTTGGTGCATAGCAGTTATGCGACCGCGGGGCCGCTCCCAGGGCAAAAAAAATAAAAATTTAAGGGACCTGGAGACTCAACTCGACCTTGAAAGTCTAGACTGAATCATAAAAAGAAAACTGTCCGCCATTGTCACTCTTTGCTTTCCCCCCCTCCCCTCCGCTTCCTTCTCTTGGCTTGGCTCATTCTCCTTTTCACTGTCGTGTAACAATCTATTTCTGTAGCGATGTCTGACGACGAGGTTGACACCGAATTGTTGGAACTGCTCCGCCAACATCTTCAGGGGAAGATCGATATCCAGGAGGAGCCTGAGACAGGCGTCCTCGAGAGCGCTGAATACGTCTACGACAGTTGCATTGATGTTGCCGTCGACATGCGTGCATCTAAAAAGGCCGCGGAGAGCATTTACGAGCAAATGGAACAGAAGAGTTACTCAACTGCCACCTGGTCAGAGCATGAACTTCACCCCAAGGCCAAGGACGAAACTACTGTCAACTTCATTTTTACTATGGACTTGCTGAATTTTTCTTTCTGGTCTGAACTGCCTGATGATGAACGATTTGCTATTGAGTATCGTGGGAAAAGATGGACTGGCTATTGGAGTTTGGTGGCAGCTCTCCAAAGAGCAACTGATGAAGGTCAGTTATCATTTTTCACGATGACTCACACAGCAAGCTAATACTTAACCTCACTCAAGGCATTCCTATTACAGATCCTTCCTACTGGAAGAACGAAGAAGAGTGTACCCTGGAATCCCTCACCCATGTTTTCCGGTCATGCACAGAAGAGGAAATTCCCCTCCTTGAAGAACGTTTAGACTGCCTACGAGAAGCTGGCCAGGTACTCTTCAAGGTAAGCTAGAACATCGTCAATCTTGACATTTACCAGTAATTCTGACCACATATGCCAGCACTACGATGGCTCCGTTGCAGAGCTCATTTACGCTGCTGACGGTTCTGCGGCACGCCTGGTGAACTTGCTGGCGCAGGATTTTGATTGCTTTCGTGATGAGCATCGTTTCGAGGATGGCAAGATGATTCGGCTGATGAAGAGAGCACAAATCCTCGTTGCGGATCTCTGGGCATGCTTCAACGGCGTGTCATACGGCGAATTTCGAGACATCGACAAGATCACCATGTTTGCAGATTATCGTATCCCTCAAATTTTGATGACTATGGGCGCCTTGTATTGTTCTCCAACGGTTGCAGCTGCCATCAAGGACAAGAAGATGATAGAGAGCGGATGTTCATGGGAGCTACAAATACGAGGTAAGTCGTTTAAACTGCAGTGTTATTCTTTTACTGAACAAATTAGCTTGCAGTATCTGGTGTGTTGAGCTGATTCGACGAGAGATTCTGCGTCAACACCCTGACGCTCATGTCAACGCCATCCTAATAGACTTTTTCCTCTATGATAGTATGAAGGAACTAGAAGCGGCGGGTAAAGAGCCCATTCCGCATCATCGGACAAGGAGTATTTGGTACTAGATGAAGGCCGCGAGGCCCGTTCCCTCTAGAGTTTTTGTGTATTATGAGACCCAAGTTTAGATCATAGATTTCTTATTCGACGAGCTCATTATGCGCTTATAGAATAATTGAGACAGCAAATAAAGCCACATCGGCACCTGAACATCATTCCTTCAAACGCCTTACTCCGTGAAACAGCTTCTGGTGACTAAACAACGGGTGGAAACATTTCAGGCACCTACGGCAGTCGAATTGAGGATCTCATCCATGTGAGCCGTTTCGATTTTATTGTTACCCTTGCTTTCTTCCTTGAGAAGGACAGCAAGGACTTCAATTGGAGGGTTGAGACCCAGACGTTCAGCTCGTTTCCAGCGCTTAATGCGAGGCATGCCTATACAGGGCTGCACGAGTTAGCTATGGTGAATCCATGATAGCCCAAGCTGACTTACACCATATTGTGAGCTGACATCGAAATATCGAAGAACCTTCTCACTCAAAGATACACCTTGCTGGTGCAATCGCGGCGTAGTCCATTGGTCTTCAATGGACTTCCAGTATTTCTTGATCTGTGCGTCTGTAACTTTCTCTGCTTGCAGCTCCAATTCAGACCTCGCAGGTTCTGGGACTACCTCAATCTCTGTGACTGCCTCAACTTCTTCTTCCTTATCAATCTCTATGGACTCATGGTTGTTGACAACAATATCTTCAGCCTCACGCTGTGTAGCATGCTGATCGGGGTCGAGCTTTGAGATGGAAGCAGAGATGGCAGACTTCTTGGCGCTTTTGGGTACTGGCTTGGTGACTTTGTTTGAGAAACTCAGAGTAGACTGACCCTTGGCTGGCGGGCCCCTGCTGCGAGTGCTGGCAGCGGATCGTCGAGTTGTGGGCATAGTGGGCTCAGCTCCTAAAGCGAGATGGCGCTGCTGAATGCTGAGAATGACGCTTGACGAATTGTAAGTGGAATCGATAGAGCTGTAGACAGGCGCTGGCTGTTGCTGAAGAGTAAGACAATTTACGAGCTTAAAAGTTAATGTTGAGAGAACGGATGCTTTATGGTGAGTGATGATGATCGAAATGTGAGGGCGTTTGTAAATTGACCACGGGTACGGATACAGGGTCAGTGACTAGAACCTATATGTGGGTGGCTCTAATGGGAAGGCTGGAGGGGCCAAATGCATGACGTGCAAGCCTTGAAATTGGCAGGACAACGCGAACTTAAGCGCGAGATCACGTGCCTTGTATCAGACACTATGGCACTGATTGTTGGGTCAGTTCATGGCAAAGCAAGTTTCTGTTCCGAATGGCATGAATTGGTAACAATCCTTAAGGTTTAGATCTCAATACCTTACATACCTAGGTACTGCTAGGATTCCCGGTCTCGCCCCCAGTCTGTGGATTTCATTGCAACTTACTTATCTATCGTATTGATGCCATCAAGTTCCCATATACAAGCTGTTGGTAAAACGTGATAACATGAGCTTGTAATGTCGGGGGGGATCCGACTTTGTCTTGGTGATCGGATTGTCTCATCACTGAGAGCTTCCCATTTCTATTATACAATGATCAACCACCAGTAGCCTCTCGGTAGAATGAAAGGCTCCTGTTTGCGCCAGCAGTGCAGAACATCTCGCTTCTGACAGTCTTCGGTAGCCACTTTACAGACCAAAGAGCTTTGTCCGTCTCACTGTGGGTTGCCACACACGCGCTTCGCTCAATTGACCATACCTTGACCTTTCCATCCATTGAACCACTGAGCAGGTACTCTCCTGTATCGCTCCAGTCGAGTGATGTGATCCACGAAGAGTGTCCAGTCAAGTTCCCAACATGTTCTCCGTGTTTCATGTCGTAGAGTGCGATGATTCCAGCGTCACCTGCGGCAGCAAGTCGAGTGTTACCAGGAGAAAAGGCAACCGATCGTACAGGCTTTGCGAGACCTAGTAGCACATGTCAGAGAAATAGTATGTGAGACGTGTACGAGGCGACCTACCAGATAATGAGTACAGGACTCTTCCCGTATCATTGTTGAAAATGTAGACAGATCCATTCTGGTGGCCGCTGGCAGTGTATTTCCCATCCCGGCTTAAATCCACTGACATGCCAAAGCTTCCAGATCCAGCACTTCCGGTTTCGTACTCACGAATCTTGGGCTTCTTCTCATCCATAACATCCCAAACGTTGACTCGACCATCATTTGTTGTAGTAGCAAGGTAAGATCCATTCTCACTCAATGCCATAGCCCAGGCTTCACCAGGCTTAGATGCAGATCCTGTAATCTCGCCATTCAAACTCCATTCGCCAGTGTCGCTGTCGACTTTCCAAATTTTTACCTCGCCGCCAAACCCAGCACTCGCTGCGACGTTGCCATTCCGCGAGGTGCACACGTGGTGGCACCCCAACTTGTGTGCATCTGAGATGGACTGCTTGAGTGGGAATGAAGGATCAGTTGTGTCATGAACGTGAAGCGTGGAAGATCCACTGCCTGATATCACAGCTTTGGATGTCGTCGCAATGGAAAAGATGTCGGTGATGTGGGCTATACGCTTTTAGTGAACTGACTCTTGCTTCATTGATTCACCCCGCGGCGGGGAGGTCAAGCTCACCATTATCCACGGTATGCGTGGTCAAATATTGTTTCGACTAGCGAGATTAGTTGCCTTTCAATCAGTGGCTAGGTCTTCGGTCGGCCTTACCATCTCTCCCACGCCGTGCTAAATGCCGTGCTTCTCTTGCTCTCCAATATGACGTTGTATGAATGAAAGTGCTTGGCTTGGACTGGACTGCGGATGAATGCCAGTGGCCTTGGTGGGGCAACACAGGATCATAAATATAAAGCTCCAAATCAAGACAAAGCATTCAAGATATCCATACCTAGGCACCTTAGGTAGGTATAAAGGAATACAGCAACTCCTGGTTGACCATTTATATATTGATAGGCAGGATACCGCACTATACTCTTGCATAATAAAACCATGCTGCTTCGATGTTGTATACACAGAGTTAAAACACAGTTCTCATAGATCTTCACGCTGCCAGAATATTATCACGGTAGTTCAAACTTTTACATAGTATATTGTTCATATTCATACAAGGCTCAAACTAAGCCAAAACGCCCATGGTATGCATGATTCCGTGGTGACTGTACAGTGGTAAATCATCAATGTTCCATATCCTTTTCTCTTTAGATCGACCTATCATTGGGGTAGTCCTGACGCCAAATTTGTCTCATTTCTATAGATTGTTAGATTGGACATGGCATCGATTATGTCAAGAGAGCAACAACATACCTTCTAAGCAGGTTTGGCATAATCGGTGTGTACGCTTGGGTTGACCACATCCGGGACATTTGCACAAGTTGTTCACATCCTTCAGCGCCTTGCCAGCCATTTGTCTGTGTCGTTTTCTCGAATGGGAGACCTTGTTCTTAGGTACCGCTCGTAGCACAGACTCCCAGATATCATCGATGGTGGGGAGGTTTAAGGAAATGCCAGGGATCGCAATCGACAACGACGGGAAGAGCTTCTGGGTGAACTGGCGAAAGGACACCGTAGATAGTACGGTCGGGGAGTATATTCGGGGGAGAAGCGCAGCAGCCATCTTCATAGAGAGACGTTGATGGGCTTAAGATGATGAACGATATCGGCTTTGGTGTTCAAGTCCCAGTCGAAGTTGCAAGGCCGGTGCTGGGGTCTTGGGAAACGAAACAAATTGAACCGATAAATTAGTCAGTACTTCGATGGTGAGTGATTGGTTCCTGATAGAGCTGAACCGTCTATAGGTGGTCGGGCTCGAATTGGGGTCGCGATGATCAGAATGCGCAAGGCTTTAAATTCCAGCTCAAAAGTCTGATGGCCTGGGGCCATGGGCTATCTCGAAATGCCGCCAGCCAATCATCAGCTAGCCGGCGCACTGATCTTCTTGAACCAATGAGAAGCTCGAAACGCGCTTTCCCCCTTTCTTTGGGACCCTGGACCTCCCTGACACCTCCCTTCCAGTAGGGAAATTGTTTGCTAAGGTGGCAGGAAGCCCAGTGCCCGAAAAGTTCCCCCTAGGATCGGTTTCTACGCCGCCTCTCCTAAACCTCCAACTCCCAGCTTCGCTACATCTTCAGGTGTCACTTTGACCTTGCCAACTGTTCGCGCTCGTGTTGACCTTAGCTGCTTCGAGTCCAGTCTTTCTTTCTTGGAATATTCACAACATTCCCGTGCTCTACCATCGTTCACCGTTTGAATCGAACACTTCTCTCCCGTACGAGTTATTCAAGATGGCTGCCGCTCCTCCCAACACTATCTATCCTCAGAGCCATGTCGGTTTCGACAGCATCACTTCTCAGATTGAGAAGAAGCTCTTAAAGCGTGGTTTCCAATTCAACGTCATCTGTGTTGGTAAGTGATGACTCTGTTCTAATCGTCCCCTATGGTTTAACCTACCATGGTGTGATTGCCGGTCTACATTAAGTTTCTATACTAACATGTCTTGCGCATTGTAGGTCAGACCGGTATGGGCAAGTCAACGCTCATCAACACCATTTTCGCTTCTCACCTGATCGACTCGAAGGGTCGCTTCCAGCCCGACGAGCCTATCCGCCAGACCACTGAGATCCAGGCCGTTTCTCACAACATTGAGGAGAACGGTGTCCGACTCAGACTCAACATTGTCGATACTCCCGGTTACGGCGACCTTGTCAACAACGACCGCTGTTGGGACCCCATCGTCAAGTACATCAAGGATCAGCACTCCGCGTACTTGCGCAAGGAGCTCACTGCACAGCGAGAGCGCTACATCCAGGATACCCGTATCCACTGCTGTCTCTTTTTCATCCAGCCATCGGGCCACTCTCTCAAGCCCATTGATATTGTTGTCTTGAAGAAGCTGTCTGATGTGGTCAACGTGGTGCCTGTCATTGCCAAGGCAGACACTCTGACCGTTGAGGAGCGCCAGGAGTTCAAGGAGCGCATCAAGGAGGAGTTTGCTTTCCATAACCTCAAGATGTACCCCTATGATAACGAGGAATTTGATGATGAGGAGCGTGCTCTGAACGGTCAGATCAAGGTTTGTCTCGTCGCTCGAGTTCAATCGGATTGTGCACATACTAATACGTAACAGAATCTTGTTCCTTTCGCAGTTGTCGGTTCCGAGAAGTCGATTATCGTCAATGGTAAGCAGGTCCGCGGCCGCCAGAACCGATGGGGAGTCATCAACGTTGAGGACGAGACTCACTGCGAATTTGTCTATCTCCGAGACTTCCTTCTCCGAACACATCTCCAGGACCTTATCGAGACCACCTCTCAGATCCATTACGAGACTTTCCGTGCCAAGCAACTGCTGGCCCTGAAGGAGAGCAGTGCTCATGGTGGAGCTAGCAGCCGACCCATCAGCCCTGCCGCTGACCGCGAGTTGAGCCGAAACTCGCAACGAATGACTATGAACGGCTACTAGGCTGTCTTTTGTTTTTAAAGTTGTGCTGGCGATGGAGCACCGGCGTCTCTGGGCAGCTCGATAGCCCGCATTTGTTACGACCCTCCATATCTTTCACGGCCTGATGTAGAGCAACTCAAAAGTAAATGCTTTGTCAGGAGGTTCGCAGGTCGACTTGACCGTAATAGAACCAATGCCTCTTACATCATTTCGATGACATCGGCATGCGAGTCAGGGCAGGGGTAGAATGTTTCGAGGTCCAAAATGAGACAGGAACTGGTCGAATATGACCAGGCTCTTCCTGGCTGCGTACTATTTGACATTTCTGCCCGTCAGCCCATATCGAAGCTGTACACGACTTTCTTGTTTTTCTTTCAGTGTTACCCCGGAGAGCTATTTGGCCTTTTTCTATGCTTTAATAAGACCGATTACCCCATACTCTAATCTAGAGTTAGTTTCCTGCCTACATAGTGTATCAATTCCCTTGGAGTTTCTGACGAACTTTGATGTGCCCAATGAGAGTGGAATGACTTTGAATACATTTGCCTGGTTGTGTAGTCCTCATAAACCTCACTTGGTGGACATTGGCTTGATATGGCCTATCTTAAGTTCGGTAAATCCCAGTTATGTGTAGAACCATAGCATTTTTATTAGTCTATGGCATCGTCGCCGAGCCATCGTACTGGATCACTGTAGAAACTAGCTATATGGGAATCTGATAGTATAGGGTAGCCTAAATAAATAAGTCGAGGATACAACAAAGGTAGCTCAAAGCACCTCTTGGAAAGTTGATTTTGTTCGGTTTTTCTGGTAAATTCCTTTCTTTGTTCTTCGCCTATGTATTATGAAGCAATGGTGAATGTTTGGCTTGTGTCTCTGGTGGCCAATATTGAAGTACACAGTGTTTGCCAGCCAATTGTGATGAGCAGAAATCTCCGCATCGTGAAGATGTAGGACATAGCTCAATTCTCACCTTATATTTCATGAGACGATGACAATAAGTGTGGACGGGCTTTAGCCTAAAGACCATCATGCCCGAGTATTTGGACCTCACACTGCGCTGTCGGCTGCCACAAGTAGAAATTTCTACGTTATCAACAACCATGGTACGGAACTCCGGTCACGAGGTATCACAAAATTATGATCAATGACACAGAAGCCATTAAAGCGTCGCTCTGAGTTTGGTGACCGAGTATTTATGATACGTTCCATGAACGGGGCATCTTCATTGGGTATGATATGTAGTTTTCAGGTGAGCTCCTGTTATACAATTGGCTGGAGGATTACATTCTTAGACGACAACAATCCAAGTCCTACGCTCCACTGGTCCTCATTGATGGCCAAACTGGCATCAATATGCTGCATTTCGCTGTGTAGGTACAAACATCTGGCGACCCAAGGAAAGTGTACAGCAACTGTACGGCATGCAGCACGATTCATTTTAGGGAGCAAAGGTAAAGATTGCCTACAGTTTACCGACATAGCTCCCTGTTAGCAAAGCGATACTGATGCCAAGAAAAACGGTGTTACAGCCAAAGATGCCAGTAATTTAACTCATGTAACTAGAGATTGCAGCGAGTAGTGGTGCAAGGATGTCGAGCGACAAGTGTACATTTAAAACTTGGTGGGACCGTTCAGGAAACCCTTCAACGGTTTTGTTTGAACAACAATGAATGGTTGATCGGACCAGATCGGATCTGAGCATGGTACATACAACGTGGGTTGGAGGGCTTGACAAGCAGACCTGATTCATCAATGGTCGTCGAGCATACCCGTATCCTATCTTTGACGTTTAAAACTGTCTTATGTACTGTCTCAGATGCCTTCTGTTCTGTCCATCCGTTCCCATCAACCTGCCTTCGAGACCCGTTCTCATCGTTCAATCGCCGGATCTAGACTGCAAACAGTAAAGCGAGTTTCCCACCCAGCGCCAACGAACCCCGGCAACGACTCGACTAGGTCGCGGATCCTTGTAAACACAAGGGTCCTGTAATTCTTCAGTTGCTCCTTTGGGCAAGAATAATGAGTGAGTTAGATGACCTGCAATCGACGTTGATTGATTGTCATTTCTCTCACCTTATGGGATGATACAATGGCATCTATCTAGTGCCACCGAAGTACGATGCTGTTTGCTATTCATATTAGAGACCTCGTATAGAGTATTCTAAAACCCAATACTTAACCTGCTTGCCTATCTTGGCTTGAGGCTTGGCTTCTGCCGGAACTTGATCTATTCATGCTAAGAGCCAAAATGCCATGGCCGGTCTCCCGATAGTGGTGTAATAGACTGCAGTCTGCAAACGGTCCAGGCTTGCGGCGTTGATGTCAGGTTGTGTTTATTGTTGATTTGGATGGATCTATGCACCAATCCCCTTTCCATCGATTAAATACTTGGCCTCGGTATCCTTTCTTATTTGAGCTTGCCTCTTCCGCTGCACTGGGATTTTATCTGAAGCTAGATCATACTGCACTTGCTCGCTCATATCTGCTCCCGTCTAATCTTCTCGTTTGGCATGCCTGTAACACTTCCGCCTCCACCTTGAAGCAATATTTGCTGCTTGACCCATCACTGTCAGTCGCTGACATTTATCCTAAGCACCCACTTCCACTCTTACTCTTCGTCCTCCACCTCGTTGCTTGCTCTTTCTTCCAACCCCATACGCTCTTTCTTCGCCAAGCGATTGTTGTCGAATTGTGGTCCTTTCGCTTCTTATCGCTCTTTCTCATCGAGATCGGTTCCTTTCGTGCCTTGATTTTACCTACTGCCTTACCTTACCTCAGTACCCAGGTAGGTAAGGTCCTTGTTCATCCTCGCGCTCCTCACCAACACCATCAGTCAACAACACAACCTTTTGCTGCGAATCAAGCTGCTTACGCTGCGTCTTTCCAGGCCTACAATCGAATCTTGTACTGTTACCACGACTTTTGGGAAAAGCCAATACAGAAAGATTCAGTAGCACGTTATCGCTATGCTTGTATGTTCCCTTACCTTGCGCCACTGTACATGGCGCATTGCCATTCGTTACACCACATACTGACATGCGTACTAGATCAAGGCCGCCCTCATGGCCCTTGGGGCCGCGGTTGTCAGTGCCGTGCCGCCTCTAGAAATCAAGGGAACTGACTTCATCAACCCTGAGACTGGCGACAAATTCCAGATTGTTGGTATGGCCTACCAA